GGGGGAGTGGGAGAGGGAGAAGCAGGCTTCCCGCGGAGCAGGGAGCCCGATGCGGGGCTTGATCCCAGGACCCTGGGATCATGACCTGAACCCACAGCAGACGCTTAACGACTGAGCTACCCAGGCGCCCTCGGCCTTGTTTCTGTTTGCCGCTGTGCCTCCAGTCCCTGGGCAGGACGCATTCTTGCTTGGAAGCAGAATATTCAACATAAACAGCCATAGCGGGGGACTTACACAGAAATAAAATCTTTGATTACTCAATTCTGAAATTCTGTAGGAATGTTTTAGGTTTTTTACTCCTGTTTCAGCACCTAAAACAATGAAAGTTCAAAGTGTTATTTTGCTTGATAAGTGTAATTTTTAGTTCCTATGAAAACAAGTTTACCAAACGTGAATACCACCTTTAAAACTGAAAATCATTCCTCTTCATTATGGTTAATTATATCTTAAAGCTAAATAATGAGTCAAGAAAACGATAGTCATTACTGAGTATCATCTAATTATCTTTTTAAACAATTCTGTCATATGGAGGAGAAGTTGTTTAAGATGATCTGCTGCAGGGGTTTATTAGGGCACACACACAACTGGCAGAACAGCCTCTGAAGACACAAGAGGTTGGAAGAGGGCAGAAAGAACACCCAGTCTCAGTTATCACTCGTTCCAGGATCTCAGTTAATAATGTTAAGGGCTTCTTTTCATATCTTGGTTCTGCTCTCTGGGTTTCAGTCTGTGGTCAGTTTACTCCAAGTCTCCATAAAAGATGGATGCAAGTCCAGCTTTTTTTTTTTTTAATTTTATTTATTTATTTGAGAGAGAGAAAGAGCACGAGAGGAGGGAGGGTCAGAGGGAGAAGCAGACTCCCCGCTGAGCAGGGAGCCCCACGCGGGACTCAATCCCAGGACTCTGGGATCATGACCTGAGCTGAAGAACCAACTGAGCCACCCAGGCGCCCACAAGTCCAGCTTTGAATGCTTTGGTAGCTTATAATTTTAGTAATGAGAAAGACCATTTCTTTCCCATCAAATACATATCAACTTGTTAGGGATCAGTTTCATTGGCTCAATTCAGGTCACACACCAATAATTGGGACCACACATATGCAGTACTCTTATAAACTATGGATCTTCCTTCATTTGTGATGGGGTTATGTCCCAATAAATCCATTTGAAGTTGCAAATATTGTAAGTGAAAAAATACATTAAATACATCTAACCTACCAAACATAGCTTAACCTAGCCTACTTTAAATGTGCTCAGAACACACTTATTTTAGCCTACAGCTAAGCAAAATCATCTAACACAAATCCTATTTGATAATTAAGTGTTGAATATCTCCTGTAATTTATTGAGTATTGTACTGAAAAAACAGAATGGTTGTATAGGTACAGAATAGTTGTAAGTGTATTGGCTGTTTACCCTCATGATCACGTGGCTGACTGGGAGCTGTAGCTTGCTGCCCAGCATCACCAGAGAGAATCCTACTGCATATTGCTCGCACAGGAGAAGATTCAAATTCAAAATTCGAAGTGGGGTTTCTACTGAATGTGTATTGCTTTTGCATCATTGTGAAGTGGAAAAATTGTAAATTGAACCATCATAAATTAGGGGCCATATATAGTCTGAATTAAGTCTCTACTCCATTAGCTTGAGGATTCTCTGTGATAGATAGACTTAGTATAATCACATTGATTTAAATTTTAAGATTAATTCCCAATAGAAAATAAAGAAAGCTTATCCCAACTATATGATAAAATAAAGGAAAACAGGAAATAAAATACAAAATGTGGCCCATCATAAGCATTAAAAATACGTACTTTTTCTTTTTTTGGAATATTTGGAATTTTATTTGGAATATTTACTCAGAAAGCACTCAAGAATATCTTTATAGGATCAACAGATATGCACACACATTTCCCTACCTATATTAATATTGCCATATTGCTTTCCTAAAAGAATGACATATTTTGCAGAAAGGCATGGAATAGTTGAATAAACTCCTTTATTCAACTCCTACATTAATTTCACCATTGTTAAAAGCATTATTTTACGTTTTTCATAAATTTGTGTATAGAAAACTGTAATTCATTTTTTAGTACTGTAATTTGAAAAATTTCTAGTGGAATCATTCCTAGTGTGGCCAAACATTGTTTTATGCATATGACTTTTGCACTATTATTTCTTACGTGAATTGCTTCTTTATGCCTCTTGTCCATTTATCTATTTTAAATGTTATTAGGTTTTATATTCTAAAAACAAATGCACTTCCTCATTCTTCTGTGTCTTTTTAATTGATTAATTATTTTTCAGAAATAATCAGATATAAAGTAACTACTACTGAGAATATATGGTGAACAAGAACATCTGGTCACACCTTTCCTGGAGTTAATTTTATTAAGTCCACTTACATTTCTCGGAATTAAAACTATGTTCATAGTCAAACATGCAAATGTTTCTTTTCTAAGTTTTTTAAATATTTATATCTTTAGAATAATTTTCCAATAACCGAGATTTATATTTCTCAACGTGTTGTCTCTCTGAACACTTGTACCAAATAAGATAAAGTCAATATTACTGGAAACATGTTCTATAATCAAATGTTTGGTAACATTTGGGTTAAACAAAGTTAAATAGGTTTCTCCTACTGCAATTTTTCATGTCTATAAAGTGTTACTAAATAAGGCAGAGAGAAGGAATAGTCAATCATAGTTCTCAAACTTACTTTTTACCAGGAAGTCCTTTCTCTGGATCATTAATTAGTGGATTAATTCACTGGATTTGCTAAGATAGCATTTTTGATATTAAAAAAAAGATTTAATTTTGTTATCTGTCTAGAGCATCATTTAATAAATGATAAAAATTGTAGACATTAATTATTTTCCCCAAATACCTATCCTTTTATTTTATTTTATTTTGTTTTGTTTTATTTTATTTTATTAAGTAGGCTCCACCTGAGCTGAGATCAAGAGTCAGACGCTTAAACAACTGAGCTACCCAAGTGCCCCTCCAATTATTTAAATATACTAATTAAATCTATTTTTTGCTGTTTTGTTTTGATTACTAACATATATTAAATTTATATGTAATATTCAGTGTTTCTGGAATTTCTCTCTTGAGAGAGAACTTCACAGACATTAACGTATTTTAATAGCCGATTTTTTTTTGTACTATTAGCCTACTCTTTTTTCTTTGTTTATTTTTTTAAATATTATTTTCTGAACTTTTGCAATCTATTTTTCAAAATAATTTTAATATATGCATTTTCAGCCTATAAAATTATCTTACTGGTATTGATATTTTACTTGACCAAATTTATTGATCAAATTAGTGAAAACTCACATGGAAGAATATTTAGTATTTTTCCTCCAACAACATTATATGCCTTTCCGTTATGCAAATTTTAAATTCTTGTTAAAGATCCATATTTTATTTTGGTCATTTTTATTTCATTTTGGTAGTAGACAGTTATATTCTGTATATTGGTTTTTTAACATTTCTCCATCAAGGTACATAAGAAAGCTCACTTCAAAGTTTTTGTTCATTTATTTGTTTGTTTAAGGAACAGCCTTCATCATTCATATTCATATTTTAAAAATATTTTTTAAACAGAAATCACATGCAATTGAACTAAATCTTGCTGTCTTAGTTTTTCTTTTATGATAAAATAAGTTGTGTATATAAATTAGAGATAATGTTTTTGGACAAGATTATTTTGTGTGATAAATGACTATGATTATAGGATATATTATGTGTTTTACTCAGAATTACCACATATGTATATATATACACATATATATTTTCAGCTTAAGTAAATTTTTCCACATTATTTTCTGAGACATATGGAGAGTATTTTTATTAAATTATAGTAACTCTTTTTTTTATTTTATTATGTTATGTTAATCACCATACATTACATCATTAGTTTTTGATGTAGTGTTCCATGATTCATTGTTTGTGTATAACA